CCTGAGCCGTGCCCCTCGGTCGCAGTCTGCCCGAGTCTACCTCTGCATGGCCTGCCCGCCTTAGCCGTGCCCCTCGGTCGTAGTCTGCCTGAGTCCACCTCTGCGTGGCCTGCCCGCTTGAGCCGTGCCCCTCGGCCGCAATCTGCCCCGAGTCCACCTCCGCGCGGCCTGCTCGCTTGAGCCGTGTCCCTCCATTGCAGTCTGCCCAAGTCTACCTCTGCGCGGCCTGCCCGCCTGAGTCATGTCCCTCGACCTCAATATGCCCGAGTCTACCTCTGCACGGCCTGCCCGCCTGAGCCGTGTCTCTCGGTCGTAGTCGGCCCTGAGTCCACCTCTACACGGCTTGCCCTCCTGAGCCGTGCCCCTCGGCCGTAGTCTACCCGAGTTCTACGTGGTCTGCCCGACTGAGCCGCATACCTCAGTCGCAAACTGCATGATTCCTACACCTCGGCGCCACTTGCTCGCTCGAGTCTTCTGCCTTGCTCAAGTCATACCCCATGGTCACATGTCGCACAGGACGACGGGCCAGCAACCGACCATCGCGACCTTCTGGGAAACCTCCCCGGCATTGACCAGAGGGTAAATCGGTAGGAACAACCACTTAAAGTAGAAGCCACGCCTCGAACCCCTTTAGCAATAGTCGATGCATGGCTCCCTTTGGGGGGGGGGGGGGAATGATGAGGGTAATAATAATGATGGGACACGAACTAACTTCATCTACTCCCGGGTGATGTCTCCTAGGTCGCGTAGATCGAGGAGTTATGGGGGTCGCCTGCCTCGATCTGACCTGACAACACCTGGCCGAAGCAGACCAAAACGTCGACCGAGGCACGTCACCATCCTACAGGAGCCTGGTCCTTCATGCAACGCCAATGCCAATGTCAGACGTTATCCAAGGTACGACCCTGCGCACTGCAAGCGGGCACATCAGGAAACGGTGATATTCCCTATAAAAACCCTCGCGTTCGGAATGAAGAGGGAAGGAGAAAAAAAAAAAAAAACCCTCTGAGACTATCGACTGACTTGATCATCGGAGGGGTCGGGCTGAGCTCTCCCGACCCGACCTGTGCGCAGGGACGAATACGGAGTGCCTCCCACCGAAGGCTCAGGCGAGGGGTCCCCTCCCGGAGAAAACAGTGACCCCGTCGCGATCGGACCACCGTGGTCGGCTACCTCAGCAGTCTTAAGAGTCGTTCAAGAAGATCTCTAATCATTCGGATCCGAACACAGCTGTATTGGCCCCGAGACCACAGCGTAAAGATGTTGACACTAACACTGGACGTGACGTTTGATCGGTTCTGGGGCCTGATGAGGTCATGGTCCGCCGTGGCCACTGCAAGGGAGCAAGGAGTGGAGCTGTTGTCCGAGGACGTGGTGAAGAAGCTTGAGTCGGACCGGGGCGGATCCTCCGAGGTGACGACGATCACCCACAAGGTTCCCATGCCAGTTGGCACGTCCGAACAAGACCATATGGTGTTCGATAAAATGCTTGTGCTGCTGCTGTAACTCGAATCCGTGTACACCATGCCCATGACTCGTTACCTCGCTCCTAGACTTGTGTTAGACCCAAGTAATTAGACTTGTCGGGAGGAATGAGATATATAGAGAGAGAGAGAGAGAGGGAGATTAAAGACATGCATCCGCGAGGGAGAAGCGAAGACACATTAACATTTTACATAGTTGTATGTTGTAGGATGGGCCTAAGTTGGGTTATTCCTCGTGATCCTGTTAGAAATCGACATTGAGTTTTATTTTGTTAGAATTAATATAGATGAATTTATATATCAATTTAATCCGAACACTTAAAATTTTTAAGATTAATACCATATCAAATCAGATATTAATTTAATCCAAATATTTAAACTTATATATTAAGTCAAATACCAATTTAACTCAAAATTTTAAAATTTTAAATTATAAATTAAATATAATATATATAATTTGACTCTTTCGGTCTTTAATAATATAAAATTATATTACAATTTATCTCTCTTTATCTCATTCGCATAAATATTAATCAGTCGGACTCACATCTTTGCTATGTTCGTGTGCTGAGATTTCGGGCCCTACTAGATAACATTGGTGATCGAGTGTGTTTGATTCCAGCCGATCACCAAATATGCCTACGCCATTCGCAACTACAGAAACTACTCCGTGCATATGGGCCAAAGGTTGCACATCCGCCAGGCAAAAAACAAAAGATTCTGTCATTGTTTAAGATCCATCAAATGGCTCTTATCGGTCCAGACTGCTGTTGATTGTTGACCTTTCAAAAGGACTGGTTCAACAAGCTCATGGTCCAATCGGTCACCCTCCTCCTGTGATGAAGCTGAGTCCCCACCACCACCACCACCACCTTTACATATCCAGCCAACTTGGGATACGTGTGCTTAACTTGGCCGTATGCCCAAATCCCATGCTCTCTCATAGCTGTCACCGCACATCGTTCTTCGTTCGCCGTCGCTCGTGTGCGAGGAGCCAACCTCCCACCGATCGCCTCAAAGTCCGTCAGCCGATAATAATTCAGTACGCCAAGAAACTGGTTAATCCATCCACCGAGGCCATAGCGCGATTCGGTCTTCAATGCTATTTCTTCTTTATTTCGAATCTTCGTCGGCCTGCGATAGCATGGACTGACACCTTGGGAATGCCTGAGTGGTTGCGGTGGAGAACGCAGCCGACCATGTGCTCTGTTGCCGCCCAGTAGGATAAAAAAGGAGTCTTATCGAGTTGTGCACCGGTCCAGTCGTTGCTAAATCATGGTGTCTTATCGATCAAGTCCATCCATTGCAATCCTTCAAGTTCCACTCACCGACCTCCCAAATGTATCATACGCTTTACTTACACCATCATGTATCAACCCACGCTTGTGGTCTTTTAACTTTGCTCTTAAAGGCACAGCTTCACGCGGACACGCCATACGTACTTCCATTTCTTCGCCACCGACGCTTCCAAGTGGAAACCATGAAACGAGTATCGAAGAAGACGAAGACAACCCACACTTCGAAGTGGAGTATGCAACGGGCCAATTCCGTGAGTTGACGAATACGGTGATCTGACAAATGTATCAACGTCGATGTACGTCGACAGGAGATCTCAATCAGACAAGTCGGTTGGCACGTACGATTCGTGATAACCACGTCACAATAATCACAAGCAAGTTGCCCAATTTCACATCCATTTTGATCAGCCATTTACAATCTACACATACTTTATTGCTTACCGTAGCTTTCACGAAGATATAACAATTTAATTACTGAGAAATAATTAAGCGCATTTATCCCAATCTGAGGCACATATCCTGAATCGTCCATTGACGTGTCAGTTTCTTACTTGCTATGCTGCTTTATTTATTTAGTTATTTGTTTCATATACTGCATTGATGAGGGAGGCCCCGTGTGCACATAGATGCCGGTCTGAAACAGGGGAAGCGTGATTAGAGAAGCTATCCGACCAAATCCGCCGCCCTCGCTGTCGCCCTCCGCCGCAAATGAGGCAGACGAGAAAGAAGCAAAGGGAGGTAAGGAGTCTGTCTAGCTTATCCCTCGGACGCTCCCTGGTAATGGCGTGAAGAAGCTCTGGTCGCCAGGGAGTTCCATGCTTTCGTTCTTTCTTGCTTTGGTTCATACGGAGTTGGGGGAATTGCAGCGGAGTTGGGTTGAACTCTGTTGTTTCGGTTGCACCTGCCTGCAGCTCTGGCCCAAGATCGTCCTAAGGAAATGGCTCAACATCAGCTCCAGAGAATCCGATTTCAGCGCCGACGAAGGGGACACCACGGAGAGTGAGCTCGAGTATGAAGGTCTGCGGTGAAATGCGATTCTGTTCTTCCTCTGACTTGCGGAAATTAGGGAATGAATTTTGCTTCTTTTTTGTTCGATTGTCTCTCCTCAGTGAAAGATCTCTTCTTTTTTGCTGATTTAATTTAAAAATGCGTTATTTTTTTGCCCCCTATTCTCCATCCAAAATGAATTTAGCTTGATGTTGCCCTCTTGTTTCATCTGTGTTGCTGATTTTGCTACGTTTAGTCCCTGGACTTAAAATGGCATATCGCAGAGATGTGCGGTTGGGAGCGTCGACTGCGAGATGAGGAGGCAAGATTGGGCGGATTTGGAGCCGAGAAGAACGGTACATTCCATATTTCGCCATTAATTCTTTTCAGATTGGGACATCATTTCCGGTGGTCCACGTTATGTATCCAAGAAAAAATAGGGATGCATTGTGTGTATGAAATATATTCAGATATGACGACTCAAGTAAAGAGCTTCAAGATAAATTTGCGTGTCGCAATATTTGAACTGATAAAGTAGAGTTTATAGGAGGGTCATACAATACTGAAACCAAAGCAGCTCCCGTGTAGATACCAGAACAGTGTAGTTTTTACCGACCACCTCATAAGAAGTACACGCATCTCTGTAAAGTTTGTGGGTACGTAATGAGTTCTTGAAACTTATTTGTAGTCATCAGTTTCCAACAATCTGATTAGCTTAGATTGCAATATATTCCTGCCAGTGGTTTTAGTTCTCTTGGGATTTGAGTGATCATACATTATAAACAACACCAACAACAAAACTATAAAGTTCTAGCTATTTGGGGCCACTATTAAGCTTAAGAGCATTGTCAGTAGTCAAATTAAGAGCCAACAAAGTACTCAAAATACTCTTAAGGCCTAAAATTCATTTTGGTCAAAGTACTCAAGATACCTCTAAGGCCTAAGATCGGCTTTTTCTGCTTAATACAAGCCTTCTATGGTTTCTTTGCTGCAAGGAGTTCATGCTTGTGTGTGCTCAAGTACTTATCTTTCTCATGCTCTATGTATTTTATTTAATTTTTCATTAGATTATTTTCACTTTATTGGCCATTAATTTCATTCTGATATCATGTATTGTTTGGCCATAATCCATAAAATAATTTGATGAGGCTTCAGCAAATTTGATTTGCTTTTCAAGTTATGTGTTAATTCGTGCAAACCCGATGGATAACTTTGTGGCCATATACATGCAGGTAACAACGTGGAAGGCATTCCTTACAGATTACGAAGGCGAAAATCTGAGACTCTTCGTGCACAATATATTAATACCAAAGAACTCAGGTATATTTCTGTTCTCCATGTCATTTTAATACATAGATACTTTACATGCTTGATAATAGCAAATTTTTGTAATTGTTGGAAAACCCAGGTGCTCCTAATTCTCTTCCTCTTTTTGCAGTCTATTTTTACTTCGTGGGTGCCTTTGCATTTAACATCTGTAATTAAAGGCACTTTCACCTGATCTGCTACATTTTGGTCCATGTAGGATCTATGTGGGGACATGGAATGTCGCAGGGAGACATCCACCTGCTGACTTAAATATCAAAGATTGGCTAGATATGGGGGAACCAGCTGATATATATGTGCTCGGGTAACTTTTAATTGTCACAAACCTTTGATCCTGAAATTATATTGAACTGTCAAATAATTGTTTAGGGGCTCTTTTTTTTTTTTTTTTGCTTTGGAGTTGCATTAACTGGAATAAGCAGTATATGATAGATGTGTCTTAGGAAATGGCAAGCACATTTATAGCTATTTTGTTATATTACATCACCACTTCAACATATTATTGAACATAAGTGAATAGAATGATGAATCATGCTACCATCCTCAATTGTAAATATATAGTTAATCCTCTAGAAACATGAGATACGTGACTATGCCTACACATGTAAGCCTTGTAGAAGGAATTGCAAAACATGATTTGGAGATGATGCGAGCAATATTCGCTATCCTATGGAGACTTGACACATGGATGCCAGTGCAGAAAAGACAAAATGGATTGGTCAAATCTGCCATATCATCACAAATAATAACGAAAAATTTTCTCTGTATGAGGAATTTTTCGAGAGAATATTTCCTCCAGTAGCAATTAAGGACTCCTAGCTATAAATAAGGATCCTTCCAACCACAATGCATCTTCTCTGTTTTTCTTCCTTTCTCCTCTCTCTATAATTCATCTTAGGCAATCCATTCAGCTGACTTGAGCATTGGAGGAACCACATTGTGACTATATTCGGTGGTGGCAGTCTTCTTTTGCAAATGGAGTCATTGAGATCCGTCTCAGCCCTAAGGATTTCATCGTTGATCTCGGTTTTTCTCTCCTCGAGAGGGATGCTATTGGATGGTTCTTCTTTTGTGTCAAGGTTCGGAAATGGGATCAAGTTGGATTGTCTCCGTAATGCAGAGTGACATCCAAATTTCGGACTAACAATGCCATATGCACATCTGTAGTGCTTGTAGTCTTTGTATTTGCACCAAAAGTTCCCTCTTTATGAATGTTTTCTTAAGAATGAACATTCAACAAACCAACCTTAGCATGCTTCAGTACACAACACACAAGATTTTGCCCTGACATTCAGTAAGGAAACAAATATATAAATGCTGCACCTGTAAACTGGGACAGGTCAGCGGAACTGGAATTAGAAATTATTACAAAGTTGAAAGTCACAAGTGACGCTTTTGTTTTATGTTTTTATTTGAAAGGTAAAATCATTATTCTGTGCAAAAATTGTGATTTCGGCAAAAGCCACACTTAGGTGATGTGACAGAAAAACTCACAGACAAGAGCTAAGGTTAAATGTGCACTAGATAAGTTTTGATGGTTATCTATCATTTGATGATCTTGGCTGGATGGTTTGATATTTCTGCTATGTCATGAGTCTATTAAGTGGAGTGAAATTTACATGGAACAATACGACATTCTCTCTTTTAGATTGTGATTTCTTAAGTTAAATGTTGGTATTAATGTTTATCTCCTGATATTCTTTCATATATGTGTAATCAATAATATCTAAGGGTTTTTTATTTTAGTTAACTATACAAGGCCTACTTTTCTTGCAGCTTTCAGGAAATTGTTCCACTAAATGCTGGAAATGTCCTGGGTGCGGAGGACAGCCGCCCCGTTCAGAGATGGGAACATATAATTCGTGAGACACTAAACATGATTCAGCCAGTTAAAGAGAAATATAAATGTTACAGTGATCCCTCTTCACCATCAAGATTCAAACAATCAGATGATGTCATAGAGGATGAACTATTGCTTGAGTCTGATAGTGAAAGTGATGAGGAAGTTCGACTTGATGAACAGCCGAATTTTCAGTCTAATGAAAATCAGATTGATGCAAGTGAAGATGATCCAAAATGTAATTTAGCATCCCAGTCCCTTTTCGCTGCAGATCAATGTGCACAACGAGAAAATATTGACAATCAATCTTCCCTGTATGTATTTGATAGATACCATAGTTCGAGTTTTAAGAATCATGGAGCAAGTTCAGAAGCCTTCACAAGTCAGCAAAAGAAGTTTACCAAAACATTAAGCAGTTCAGAAATGATTGGTCTAATTTGGCCAGAGCAGCCATTGGATCTGTTATCCCAACACAATAGGGATACATCAAAACCAAAATCATTAAACCCAGTAAAATCTTTTAAAGCATGCAATTCATTCAATTCTCTACATGGAGACCATAATGATTCATTTCTGACTCCTGAACTAGATCTGGGAACTGTCGTGAATAGAAAGAAAAGATCATCTTTTGTACGGATCATAAGCAAGCAAATGGTTGGTATTTTTCTTTCAGTCTGGGTCCGCAGAAGCCTGCGGAAGCACATACAGAACTTGAAGGTATCAACTGCTGGAGTAGGTGTCATGGGCTACATAGGCAACAAGGTTTGGTTCCTCCAAACGTCTTCCTCCTTTCAATATATGATAAGTTCTCATTGTTTTAATTGGATTGATGGTCTGACTGTCATAATTTTAACTTCTTCAAATGGTTATGGTGATAATATGACTTCTAATTAGGTTGCCTCCTGGTGGTGTCGAAGGATACTCTCATATAATTGAATTATTTGGATTTACGTACACATTTTTAGAGTACCCAGGCGTCATTGAAGTAAAGGATACTCTCATATAATTGAATTATTTTTCCTTATGATGTCCATCAATGCTTTTCAATTTTTAATCATGCATTGATGTTCAACAATTTTTTTCTTGTCATGTATAGTGCATTGTTTGTTGGATATTTTATATGTCATGGAGATAATAATCTTTTGATTATTCACCAGGGATCAATATCAGTCAGCTTGTCTATATATCAGACACTTGTTTGCTTTATATGTAGTCACCTGACTTCTGGAGAAAAAGATGGTGATGAGCTTCGAAGGAATGCTGATGTGCGAGAAATTCACAGAAAAACATTATTTAGTTCAGCTCCTGGTGTTGGAGTGGCAAAAACAATCTTTGATCATGAGTAAGTAAATCAAACATCCACCTTGTCTTAAGATACATATTGTCATATTCACATAATCAATGCATGCTTTTTCATGTTTGATATAACCAAGTGCAATAAAACAATTATATGCGACATTAGTTTGCCTCCTGCCATTTTACTTTGATGTTAAATGGTATAAATTTTCTTGCAACTTCATACATTGACAATGTTTTTTTAATATAGAGCTATCATGATACTCTTAAAGTTGCGGTTAGTTGGAAATGAGGTACTCTCAACTCTCTAGTACTTATTTAATCTGTTAGTGAAAAGCTGATCATATGAAGGTGCAATTATTTCTTTTTGTTCATTACTTTAGGATTTCTATCTCAGACATCTTAGCCACAGAAAATAATGCAGATGCTGTTTAAGTTGGTTCTAATATTCCAATCTGGATGTACAGGATTAGGAGAGATACCACAAACCTTGATGAATGTAGTAAAAGTAAGTCTTTGAAAGCATGCACCTGAAAAGGAGTATAGCTTCTTTTACAACTGTAGGATGAATAGAGATTCTCAAATTCAGTATTAATGTTCAAAGAGTTTATCCTAGAATTTATTATCAGAATTCATGATTAAAGAATGCATTTTGTGCTATTATAACTCTCAGTTTGGTGAAAAAATCTCTTTCTGAAATTAAGAAAGAAGCATTAGTGTCAAGTTTATAATGTCTTGTAACTCGACATGATAAAATGAACCATGAAGATACTAAAGATGTATAATTTAGTGATATCTTGACTGAAACTCTGAACCACGACCTAGACTGTATGTTTTAGCAACTACATGACTGAAATTTAAGTCTGAACTATGGCCTAGGCTGTTAAGAAGAGCACTAGTGACTTCCATCAAAACTAGATAACATGAAACCATTCAGGGATCAGTAGGATGATAACTAAGGATGGTGCACTATGTGCTTATAGTGTGATGCTATGATATAAGCAAAATTTTGGGGTTTTGCTGGGCTTACTGGTGGTAATTGCATGAGTTTTAGAGGCTTGACACAAAATTTCACTTGTAGTTCTCTACCAAAGTGTTCTTTTAATGCCTTTGAAGTTTGAATCATTTCATTCACCTGCTTCTGAAACTTCAGAAGTTTCTGATCTTTATTTATTTGCAAACATTTTCAGAAGAATTATCTGGTTAGGTGATCTAAATTACCGCATCAATATGTCATATGATAGAGCTCACGAACTGATTTCCAGAAAGGAATGGTCTAAATTATTTGAGAAAGACCAGGTCAGTGATCTTATGTTGCTAGTATTTTAAGTCGACTATGTTGGTTGATTTTGCCAATATTTGTGTGGATCGAAAAGGTATTTGCACCTTGCACTGTTGGATAAGTTGAACTTAGTTCATCTAGAAGGATGGTTATGATGCTTCCTTTTAGCATGCATCCCATGGTGAACCGGAATTTATATTTATGAAGCCTGATTTTCCCTTGTTCGAATGATGACATACTGCAGGAATACTGTAAATCACAATAGCAAGTTGAAAATCTGTCTCATATATCTAATAGCCTTAGTACTTTATTCTGTGTATTCCTAGTCTAACAGCTAATTGTATCAGAAACATGACATAGAAATGTAGAAATGAAATACAAAGCTGTTCATCTAAATTCTATGTTCCTTTCTGATATGATCTAGAATGTGTTATGCCTTAAAAGACAACTATTATATAAAAAACAAACGTAGAAATTAGGTGGAATTTGCTGACACAGTTTTAAATGTTTAGGTTAGTCACCATAGTACTTTGCTGAAACAACCAAAAAAACTTTCTCGGGGATAGTCCTTTTTGTGGTGATATACCAATTGATGTATTTCCTAGGAAATACTAGTATTATTATTAAGCGCACATTTCTGCATTGACAGAGTTGGATGGTTCTCAATCAAAACATGATATATAATGTTAGAAACTTAGAATTATTATTTTGTAAAAAAATACGTCAACTTCATGATGTGATAGCCGGTGTTCCTTCAACAGCAGTAATACCACCCCCTATCCAATGCATGCTTTGAGATACTGGTGAGGCTATCATAGAATGAGTACTAAATTTTTCAAAGTATTATTTTGTTGGCTAATGAGCTTCATGGACTGGTTTAATTAACTTGTAGTTCCACTTGATACCATTGCAGTTGAGACTCGAACTTAAGAAAGGCCATGTATTTGATGGATGGTCAGAGGGTGTTATAAATTTCCCTCCTACCTACAAATATGAGTTGAACTCAGAGAAGTACGTTGGGGATGATCCAAAAGGTGGAAGAAGAACTCCTGCTTGGTATATAAGCTGAAAATAGTGTTTATGTGTTCTTCTGCTTCTAAAGTTAATTTCGGCCTGATCAATAAATCTATTGCTTTTCCAGTCTTCTTCTATAGCGTAAAACACCTAATATGTTGGAGTCGAAGTTTGGAAGACCACAGCTAAATTGTTTTTCTTGTCCTGTTTGATTTCATAAGAAGTGACTATATTCTTTTATCTAGATGGAGTATGTATTCTTGATAAAAATATCAAGATTTGCACATTTCTCAGGTGTTTAATTTTTCTATAGATATTTGGTGTGACATAACCTTAGAAAGATACTTTATAAAGCATCATGAACTCTCACTCTTATGTTGAACAATTTCTACCAGTTGAGATATGGAGTATCTTGATATTTAATTCCGTTTTTGTCAGGTGTGACCGCATTCTTTCATATGGTAAGGGCATGAGGCTATTAGATTACAGAAGAGTCGAGCTAAAATTTTCAGATCACCGTCCTGTTGCAGCAATATTCATGGCTGAGGTTGAGGTTTTCAGCCATAGAAAGCTTCAGCGAGCTCTCACCTTCACAGATGCAGAGGTTGAAGAACAACTAGTTTCAGATGCTGATAATGGAGTTGCAAACTGCTTGTGGCTAGGACAGGTCAGTTCTTGGAACAAACAAAAGCATGCGTAGCCAATTTTTCGGCACTAACATATTTTCACTTGTGTTGATATTATCATGGAAGGAATCTCCATAATCAACAGATAACTAAATCATATCAGTTTCACAAGGCTTAGGTTGCATTATCAAGTAGCTGAGACACTTGATTTTACAACTAAAAATGACTTTTATGTTCTTTCAAAAAGAAATAGGGAAAATCCCAAACTTCCATTGAAAAAATTTGAAGTACAGGAAAAAGAAAGTAAAAAAAAAAGGGGATAAATTTGTTTATCTAGCTTTGTGTATGGTGTGTGAAGGATGGTGGCTAGTGATTACAATAGACTTGTAATCAGAACATCACCTTTTTCTTGATTTCCTTTTCTTGTCATTGTTTTCTTTTTACCTTTTTTTTTAGGTGAATAAGTTACCTTCCCGTCATGCAGGAAATAACAGAATAACTCAGATGGAAAGATGCAGGCTGGTTCTCAATAGGGTGGGTACGTATTCAACTTGGCTGTTGTTTATCTTTTTAGGGTTTTTTTCTTGTAGATTCAGGGCATTCAGAGTACATAAACTGTCACTGTAAATCCATCTGCAATGAGTGAAACTGAGAGGAGGTAAAAATTTCATGTCATACCTTCTTTTACGATCTCTAGATGTCCTTCCCGCGGAGTTACTTGAGCATATGCTGTGCATCAACATTTCATCATTTCCTGCTACTTAAACCGCAGTCATGGATTTGCACATTACCGTGGCTTGGTGCTTGGAGAAGCGAGAGGGGATCATTAGGTGCAATAATACTGTGCGTGGCCCAATGGGGGCTTGTTTTGGATTGCTGGACAGTGTTTTGGCAGCAACGAGCTATTGCAGCAAGAGCAACTATGACTGTCCTTATTATCATCACGTCTACCTGCTATCGAATAGCAATCTTCTAGGAAACTTGCATTTGGAATTTCCAAGATGTTCATGATCCATCTTACGCACGACTGGGGGAGGTGACGGATGGAAGTCACCTTGTGGCCTTGATGACATAGAGAGGATTGTTGATACCTCAATGTCATCATTGCGTGATCGATGATATTTTATTCTTTGGATGTTAGCATTCACCACTATATTATATCCTCCTAATTTGACACTACCTGATCTAGCTTCTCCATTCCGGAGCTCCAACACCATTTGCACGTCGGCTTCACTCTCCTACTACTCCTGTACTCGAAGTTGGACTTGAGCTGCTTACTCATGGTAAAAGTCCCTCTCGGTAGTCTTCTTATTCTCCCTCATTAGGTCAAACATGACTATTGAGATGCCTTGTACTCAATTAATAAGCAATGTGTGGTGTTATGTTGAGGAAGAAAAGTCAGAATTAATCCTAAAAGGCATCTATCTACATGAAAGGCATCTATCAAAAGTAAAGGACAAATAAAAAATGGTAAATCAATTTCCCGACCTACTTCTATTCTAATTTTTTTTCCCATGAAACTATTGATTTTTATTATTGATCTTTTTTCTAACGTTTTATTTTTTAAAAAAATCTCTCACCTTTTATAACTTAGAATTATAACAATACTCAATAAGAGAACACTGAAACTATGATTAAAATAAGATTTTATAATATTTTACTAGCTCAGGAATATATGCTCCATCAATCAAGCTATGGGTGGTACTTGATATGGGTTAAAATATGATTAAAAAATTCAAACATTCGAATTTCAAGATATGGGTGGTACTTGATAATCATAGGTGTCTTACAAGTCAATCACATGAGTAATGACACATGTGACATGATACACATTCGTTTTACTTATTATATTTTAATATTTTTATCACATATATATATATATATATATATATATATATATATATATAG